ATACATGCAATCACTCAGCTTCACCATTAATTATCCTACCAAAAATATATCTACACGTAACCCTAGCTACCTAAGTATCTGCCCCTCCGATTTAATGCTATTCAGCAGTAACATTGGATGATTCAATAATGAATTTTATGGATTCTTCGCCTCAAAATATATATTGGAGTACTCAAAATAATTAGAGACCAAGAAAGGACTGTTTTTGAATGCATGTTATATTCTGAGAAAAAGGGAAAGACTGATATTAGATTGCAAGGCATGGAGTAATTCAAGTTAAATTACCCTGAAATATATAGAAAATTAAAGATGCAGGGAAGGAAAAACACAGAAGGTTAAGATAATTTTATTACTCCTATAAGGGTCTTATATTTAGGACCGGAGGAGTATTTTTTTTTTGAAAAGAAACACGTTAAGCTGATGAGATCAGTGCATCTTTTTAATTAGTTTGGGAATGATGTTGTTGATTACTTTTTAATATACGAATTGGCTTCAATACTTTGTATTAAGCAATTGAAAAATATAAAATATCAAGCAACCATGAACAGCTGTTCTTTTATTTATACCATTCTATGGCCCTGCTGGACACGAGGGTGGATATGCTTCTTGTTTATTTGTGTTTATGTAAATAAATAAATAAATTTATGTGTATACGTATTGTGCAGTGGTGTTTATGCTTTTATTACTCCTTTTAATTCTTAATATAAAATCTCTTAGTTTCATAACATAATACTACCTTCCATCCTTAATATAAGAGCTAGTTGATTAATTTGAGTAGATTAAGAAAATTTGTTAAATTAGTTATTTGTAATAAATATGTATTGTCTTTCATAAAATACTTTTAGCATTTACAATTATTATAAGGACTACTCTGAAAAACATAAATAAATATGAGAAATAAAGTGAATTGAGATCTTATATTTAGAATCAAATTAAAAGTTAAAATAGCTTTTATATTAAAAACCGGATGTGATATATTTTATTTAAAGTCTTAATTTTTTCCCCTAATTTATTATGCATAGCTAAACTTTACAACTAGTCAATCGAGCAGTTATAATTATTTATTTTATTAAGATTTTACAATAAATAATTAATTTTAACAGTCTTTTAACTTACAAAAACAGTTCATTAGAGTTTATGAAATATTCCTCTGATTCTAAATATAAAACTCTTATACCGGTAAATATAAAGATCTTATATTTAGAATCAGAAAAGTATACAGAAAATAATGGAAGTGTTATCATTTGCATCGTGTTTCAATCTACGACCAACAAATCACGCACGCACGCGCAGTACTGTTTCCCTTTGTTAGTAAGGAAGAAGTAAACATCAAATCAAATGTATTGTGATGTGCGCCCTCACTTCGGGCTGGTTGTTCGCTGGTCACCAAAAAACAAAAAAAAAGGTTCGGGGTGGTTGGTAAATGATTCGTGCGCAACTCTAATCAATCAATTTTCAGCACAAAAATAAAACCCTAATCAGGCAACATGTGGTTTTCGTTTTTAGAAGGCCGAGATCTTTACAAGGATTGGGATTCAGTGTTGCGGATGAAAAAAGTACATCAAAATTATATGAAAAATTAAATTGAAATTTCTCTCTAATAAAATATGAAAGCATGTGTAATGAGGATAATTGCTATAAAATTCAAAATAAGGAATATAATTACTAAAAGTGTAAAAGACACAGCAGTCTTTTTTTTTTTTTTTTAAGATAGAAAAATGATAACTGCTTATTTTATTACTGGGATCTATTAATAATTACTTTTTTTTTCTTTTCTATAAGATGTCATCGTGATTCTCTTTATTTCACCTTCTTAAGGCTACAGACACATTTGTTGTATTTCTCTAATTTAAGCTTCCTCCCCTCTCAAAAATATTCATCAAAAGAGATGCAAAAAGAAAAGTAAGCAGGATGAAAAATCTGGCCAATTTATATGCAAGTTGAAAAATCAGGAGCGCATGGACGGCAACCCTTGAAATGAATGAAATAATTAGAAAATAGAAACATTATGGAATGGTGACCATATTGAACAGTGAATATGGTACACCAAACCCCAAAGTTTTTGTTTAAGCTAGATCACCATCCGTCCCAGAAATTCACAGATTCTTATTGTTATCAAATTTAAAATTTTTTATTTGTCATGTACAGTAAACAAGTAACAAAAAAAGATATAGATTATGTGTATTGATTATTAGCGTCTAGTTTCATTTTAGATATTTGCTATTTTCTCTTCAGCCGCATTCAAGAAAGAAAATATTTACTTTTCATCTGGGCATATTTGTCATTTGATTTGGACAGTAAATTAAGAATCATATCGAGACCGTACCATGACTCAGTTTGGGCTACCGCGCGCCAAACTTAGAAAGAGGGCCCATATTGAAATAGATGCAGCAGTAAGCCCAAATGGAATAGACAAAAATGTATTAGCCGGCGGAAAAAGAAAAAAACAAAAATACATTAGAATTGTTGAGAGTGGGATTTGAACCCACGCCCTTTCGGACCAGAACCTTAATCTGACGCCTTAGACCAACTCGGCCATCTCAACTGTTTGACACATTGCGTTGCATTTAAAATATAAGACAATAGTTTGTTGAAATATAATATCAACACTTTTGTACAATTTTTAGTACTAGGGAGAATGACAATTAGAGGTCTCGATAAAATTTTGTAAAAAACTAATATGTAAATATTAATTTAAATTAAACAGTTGTAAATGAGAATCTCAATTAATTGCAAATTCTAAATTCATATCAGCATAATTTTTATTTTCATTTGATTTTTCAAAAAAAAAAATTACTGGTGACCGACTATAATTAATACAATTGCCCTGGAACCTATCTGTCACTCTCTCTCATAACACTACCTTCACGTTTTGATCATTCAACCCATTTCTGCAGGTTCCTCCTCGATCATTGATCTTATTGCAAGCAAACCTTTTGTCAACTCTTAAACTGTAATCAATATATGCAGCACATGTTTTCAGTATCTGTACTCCATTTACGTACCCCTGCCCACCTATCTGTCTAATCTATACACACATGGATGAGTACTACTTCCGGTTCTTAATATAAGAGTTACATAACTAATTTGAAAAGATTAAGAAAATTAGTTAAATTAGTTATTAGTAACAAAAATAGGTTGACTTTCTTAAATTATCCTTATTTAATCATGTACATTGAAACTACACTTAAGGAAAAATACCTTACAATTAATAAGGATATTTTTGAGAACACAATATAAATTTAAAAGACAAAATAGATTGAGACCTTATACTACCTCCGGTATTAATTATAAGACCCAGTTAACTAGTTTGAGGAGATTAGGGAAAGAAGTTAAGTTAGTTATTTGTAATAAATAGAAGTTGTCTTTCCTAAAATATCCTTACTAATCAACTATATTGGCTAGAACTACAATTATTAGAAGGGCTATTTTTGAAAAAAAAAATACATAAATATAAGAGACAAAGTGGATTGATGTCTTATATTTAGGACCAAAATAAAACTTAAATAGGGTCTTATATTAAAGACCGAAGGTAGTAGTATTTAAGATTACCAATATGCTTAGAACTGCAGGTAGTAGTACACGATCATACTGAACTGTTGGCTTCTATGTTGAGCCTTAACTGAAGCTTCTTCTAGCAGGGAAAGGGGAAGAGATCAATCCATCATATATCATAAACTACATGGAAACTGCCAGAAACTACCACACTTTATTAGAATCGATGCGATATATCTAATTGACTGTTTCTCGATACATACCTGTAACAATGACGCTATCAGAAAAATCACCAGCCACACAGATCGACCTCCAGCTATATCTGTATATTGAAAGGGAACTGCTTAAGAGTATGACTAAGCAGAATCAGTTAAAGGGCAACTCTCCTTTGGCGGGTAGTGATAAAGTGAATACGAAGAAACACAGTATTCATTTAGACGATCCTGCCAAAGAAGAGCAGCCCTACAACCGAGTCGCTTATATATAATATGTTTGTTTGCTTTGGGAGAAGAGAAAGTGGTGAGATGCATATTTATAGGTGACCTGAGAAGTAGGATATGCCGTAGGTATATCCTTCTCATCCCAGATTGCATGCTTCATACGCATCCCTATATGCAGATATATGAAACTGCTTAGTTTTCTCTCAAATCCTCAAAACCACAGAGATGCTTGCCTCTCCCTCTCTGTATCTGGGAGACGAATTATTCAGGGAATGAACTATGAAGAACAATTATATAAAAGTAATATGGGGGCCCTCTCAAAAGTGTATTATGAAAAAGTAGTGGAGATGCCAAGTGCCAACATAATCTTGCCCTGGAGGAGGTATATTTCCTGTCATATTCTTCTCCATTCCATTGTTTTCCCTTATTTTATGAGGTCACGAAAAATAAAAAAGAAAAGATAATGTAGTTTAAATATTTCAGCAGAAAAGTTTAATAATTTATCCTGTTTATATCAAATATATGCTTCAGTCTCAATTTTCTCAAATGATTTAAATAAAATAATTAATAATACTGGAGAATTCTTTAGAGTACTGGGGTTAACGATCTGGCAGGTTTTCTCTGTTGTCATATTTCTTGAACTGTTTGGAAGTTAATTCCACTGGGGAAAAACATTACGTTTATTTGTAGCATGTTTGAATTGTCAATTCCTTATTATACGGTGGTCCATTGAAGGCTCACTGTGGAGTTTATACCTTCGAATATAACCTCAGGGTCCGCATCTTTGAAAGAGTTTTTCAAACAAATGGAAATGAAAAGCTTTTATAGTAACTTTCTGGTGATCAGTCTGAAGATATTTGATAATTTATATTCTTCCAAAGAGCTTTTACTCTTGTTGGTTTCTTAAATGAAATCTTCCTGTGGTAATGGTTCTTTAACTTACTCGGATTCCAAATGTATTTAACCATTACGGAGTACTCCAAGGCTCCGACTTTGCTGATATCATCCATAGCAATATAATAACGAAAAGTATAGTCTCTATTGATCTCAGGTTTATAATCTATAATTGTTACAGTAAAAGCCTTTTTTACATTTATTTGTAAAGTAATCGATGTCCATAATTCTCACTGATAAAACCTGGTCGTCCTGAAATAACAGAATCAAAATCAACATCGTCACTAATCACTCAGCAGCTAGTCTCTGCGTCAACATTTTGAGCCCCATATACCTGCGCCACCACCAGAAAGCATCAATTAATGGATATCCATGAAGGAGCAGAGAATATCTGAACTAATAATATATCAGAAGTAGAAACACTCATCAAGTACGTACCTCCCAAGCATCATAACGGTGGCTTGAGGATTAGTTCCCGGCGAATAATTAAACGTGGAACCATCAATAACACGCAAAGAGTCAACCCCGATAACCTTATAATCGCGATCGACAACCCTCCCTACTTGGCACCCTCCATGATAATGCCATATCGTCATCACTGTGTTCCGGCAAAACTCCTCCAATGGCGTCGCCGAGTTCACGTGCTTCGGCAATAAATTCGCCGGCCATCTTGAGCTCAGGTTAGCCAGCAACTCTTGGGGCATATTATGGTATGTGAACGGCGACAATGCCTTCGATTCTATCACTCTCTCGATCATTCTCACGCCTTCCACACATCTCTCCAAGTCTCGTGGCTCCTGAAAGTAGTTGAACGTCACCAACGGGTTATCGTTTACATTGCGGGTTCGGAGCTCCAAATACCCTGTTGAAATTGGGCCCATTATTTTCTCCAGAATGAACCCGCCTCTTAACTCTGCCTCCTCAAGACTGTCCATCAGCCGTGCTGCCTTTGCTAGGGCCTCTGGGGTCCTTTCCTTCGGCGGCACTTTCGAGAATTGACCAATCTGTACTTGGCAATAATAGTTTAGTGACTTTCACCATGTACCTTTGATTGGGCCCCAACCGGAGAAGTGTGGAAATGGACTTAAAAAAAAAATAATATAACAAAGTAAAATTATAAACTATTAAAGAAAAAAACAAAAAAGCAGTTGAAACTTTGATGCTTACTTTGGGTGAAAACATGCCATAGTTTCTGGGGTCTCCGCGGCCGAAGTTTTCGCCGCTGGCGGCTTCGATGTAGCTGCCGGAGTGGGTGATGCCGACCACCTGAATAAGGGAGACCTCCACGGGGATAGGCGACGGGACAAATATGGCGTTCATGGGGTTATCTGACATGCCTTGGCCCACCAAGGGTTGGTCCAATACTACGCTGATGTTGTGGGTCCTGAGGTGGGCTTTTGGGCCTATACCACTCAACATCAGAAGTTGTGGGCTTCCTAGGGCACCAGCGGACACAATGATCTCATTCCTCGGCCCGTCTCTCAGGTAGGCCCCATGCAACCCCCCCGACGCATCCCTAAACAACACCCCTCGGGCCACTGGTCTTGATCCTCCTGCTGCAAGTTGAAATACAGATCAGTAAGCAGTGACAGAAGTCGAACGTTGAATTCTGTGGAGACTCTTTTGGAATGAATTAACCATGTTTGTGCGTAAATGAGTTGTAGTATTGTTTGTGAAATGGTTCTAAACGGACCTTGAACTCTGAACGAGATGCGGTGGACGGTGGCATGCAAAAGCACAGTGATACTGGTGGAATTAGCATATTGAAGGAGATCAGCGGCAGTGTGCCTGTGACCTCGTTGGTCAAAAATGGTACCACCAACTTTGGTGCCTTCCATGTGATCGTAAGTGAAGCCATTGTAAGGAAGCACTCCGATCTCCCGCAATCCATCCCGAACCGCCGACTGCCACTGTCGCATCACCGGCTCAAACGCCACCAAACGCTCCACCCATTCATACGACTCGTTCACCGCCCTTCCGTCCCAACCAGCATCCCTACCAATCCAAAATTACGATCAAGAGCTAGGTTCGAACTGTGCATGGTGGGTGGTAGATAGATAGATAGACGTATAAAGATGATGCATGCATTGATACCTAACATAGAGAGGGCTAGCACGAGTATAGAAGCCGGCATTCAGACAGGTTCCGCCGCCGAGAACTCGGGCTCTGGAGTTGATAACGCCGTCTTGGGAGATGAAGCGTTGTGCGGGAGAAGCAGGGGAAGTATCGGAGAGAGGGACACCGAAGGAAGCCAAGTTGGTGATGTTAGGGTTGCCATAAGGGGAGCCACCGCGTTCAAGGAGGAGCACCCTGTAACTTTGGGACAGCGTCGCCGCCAAGGGGCACCCAGCTGTGCCCCCACCGATTATTATGTAGTCATAGTACGATACCTTCGGAGCTGTCGTTGCACTTCGCATGAATGCATACTTCGGACCTGTACCTTCCAACACAAGCAAAAACCTCTTCCTTATTATTACTTCTAGAATTAATATTCACTCTTCAATTTTGCTATAATTAATATTACTACTAAAGTTACCTTTTTGGGATGCGCAATGATGAGGAGAAAAGAAAATGGCAGAAAGAACTGAGAGAGTAACGAGTCTCCACCAGCAAACACCCATTAGTGCAGAGGTCAGGACTAGCGATTTGTGGGTTGGTTTTGGCTACGTTATACTGAATTATAAAACGAGCCATTCTTGGTGATTATATATACTGCAGATATCGCCTATAAGTTTGACTAATATAAAGAGCATTCGTGTACTTTGTCGCCAAAATTAACATATTTTACTACGTGATTCTTACGTCCATCGACGGAGAACAAGGCGCTCAATAAAGATCCAAGAAAGTGCAGATTATGTGACCCCCACAAAGAAAAGAGCGGATCGGAACTTGTGGCTTTATGAGACCACGGGCCCATGTTACGATCCCTCTCTCCAATGGCCCAAATATGCGGGTTAGAGCTTGTCCACACCCAAAGGAATTCAGTTTGGGTGATCATTACCCACATTAGATTTGATATAATCTTATTTTTATCCTTTTAATATTTTAATAAAAAATCTAAAGAAAACATATTTGTCTAACTGGCAGTTTTTCAAAAAATATTTATTATTAAAAAATCTATTAAAATTTTTAAATTTGAACTATTAGAATTGTTTTTAAACAGTACAAATCTCTGCAATCATCATCACTGCATTGAGGTTTTAGTCCTTTGACTTTCATGTAAATTATTTAACTACAAATGAAGCAGAATATTGCTCTTCATCAATTTGTGAAGTGGCTAATGACATCAATTAATTAAGAAAATAAAAATCATTTTAATTTAGATGAGAAATAGTATAAGTATACTTTTTACTTGTACTATTTTTTCGGTCCAAAAAAAGTATACTTTTTTTTTCTTAACTCTCCTATTTAATGGGCTTTGATGTCATTTTTTTGCCCCCCAGAAATGTTCAAAGGCCTGATTTGGTATAAAGTTGGGATTTGTTGGCAATAAAGTTGAGAATTGATCAAAGGAAAAAAAATCTATTGAAATACCTTACAAAATAATAACAAGTCAGCTTTTGCATGACGTACATAAATGAGGCTAATTATGCAACTTTATGGAGCCCAGGGAACTTGAATGGGAACAAAATTACGAATTCTGAAAGAGGAAAGTGACTGGTGAGCTTTGTCAGAACCTGGCCGGATATTACATTGAAGGCCAGCGAGTAGAAAAGGGGACGTCGAACTGAAGCCCATGGAGGAGAGACAGAATTTAATAGAGAGAGTTGTAGGTATAGCAGGTGGCGATGATGGAGATAATGCAGATGAATAGAGAAGGAAGAAGGGTGACATTAAGGAGCCTACTCACTCCCAGATAGCCAGCCAGAGTAATGGTTGCATCAGCCACCACTCTTGCAAGCGTCCCAGCCTCTGTTGACAATAGCCCCCCATTATAGGTCCCGCGAGAAAGCCTCGATGACATCACCCGGGAAAGCAGTGACAGGTTGACTCCTGCAAATGCACACAAGGATTCAGTATTGAGAAATTAACACAATATAAGATCAAATTTAGATGGCAACCATGCTCCTTGCAATTGGCATTTACAAGTGATTTCAGTCACTACTGTGAATCAATATCAATATACAATATAAAACTATAAAGGCACGAAATATATATAGCTTGTGAAAATATTTTATATTGATTCATAACAAGCTGTAAGTAATATAACTCACTTTTCGTACGCTGTATGATAGATGGATTACAAAGATTAAAGATCAAAGTAGAGGAGCACGGAGCTCAGTGTGATGTTCTGAAGCGAATGCAAACTCAACAAACATCTCATAAATCAGACCAGTCAACTAGTTAGCACACGTATCTAAACACATGCTCATAAGTAATTGAGTTAGCAAGCATTCTATCTTATCCTCTGTACCCACAGGAGTAGAACAACCTCCCTCCTGCGCACCTTCACAATATTAGTATATTTTGTTGTTGCTATAAATAATAAAATCAGTTATTAAATCTTACCTTCAAGGACTTCGGCGGCAACAAACATAAGGAGACCTGAACAGATATATTGTGGCTGGGTGTAAGGAAAGAATACATGGAAGCTCAGGAGTATGCCGACGCAAACCATAATTTCTGAGACCAACAGAATTTGCCTACAAAAGAAAACAACGACAAGTGTTCTCTTAGCTGTTCATGGAAGAGATTTCAACATTTCAAGATTCAATGCATCGACCTTAGAGAAGACAAGGGAAATGAAATCTTCATTGCTACAGGACCCTCTGTACAGGGTCCCAAAAAAGCCTCTCTTGCATCAACACGCACAACGTAGCAGAATGCATTTTCAAAGCAAGATCCATCGCATGGATCTTCTAATGGGTGAATTAACATGCGCAATGTAACATAATGCATTTTCAAAGCAAGATCCATCGCATAGATCTTCTAATGGGTGAAAAAAAAATTTAAAAAAAAAGAAGATATTTTTCTTGGACGTTACCTGTCCTCAAACATGTTGCTTATATAGCTTCCCACCACAATGTTAACCGGAAGAACTGTCAAGCCAAGGCAAGCAAGAAAAATTGCTACCGAGCTTGTTGACCAGTTGAAGTAGTATGTTGTGATGACACTAGATTCTGATAATAAAATCTCCATTGCATATTTGAGCATGAAATATATTAATAATTGAACCTGAAGATGTCACAGAAATTTTGGTCAGCATGCGGTAAACACATTCCTTTGTTTCACTCAACAGTCTTCAGCACAAATGTGAAGGATATCAAAAAATTGCAATATCAAATTAGAGAAACAGTATCTTAAAGATTTCACTCCAATAGGAATGTTAAGTTACATGAAAATAATTAAGAAGCTGGATAAGAAAATGATAAGATCTGGGTTTAAGAAAAGAAACAGAGAGAAATTCTACCAAACATAATAATGCCAGAATCTGAAACTACTACTGAATGTACCAAGGATAATCTCGACTTCAATCAATCAAAACATCCTCTACCTAGTTTGCCGCACGTAATTATAATAAAAACTAGTAACGAAAATGCAAAAAATGCAAATGATAACTTACTACTAGCCATGTGCACGTGCTGTAAACATGGAGAAAGAATGTAATGCTGAAGTGCTAAATAACTGCTGCTCTAATGCTGATAATGCTAAAACACTAGATAAATGTTGCTCTAATATTAATTTACAACTGCTCATTTCTCCTTGTTTTGACATGGCATTCGCTTTCCTCCCCCCTTGTTTACTCCCTCTACTGGACATAAGTCGCAGCACTCTCAGAGGATCATTTATTGGTCTGTTTGTTTTATAATGCTAATACCACAGCTGCAAAATTGAATGCCGTTCCATGATCCTATCTAATCATAAGCTGGCCAAAAACTACTCAATATGCACAATAGTCCAGCAGCAATGTGGAATCAAGATATTCCACAATCAGCTAGCATATTGTGTCAACTAATTTTCCCTTCGACTATATCTTCCCTATGTTTTATGTTACTTGGTAACTAATAAATGCATAAGAAGGATGTAGATTTTTGTCGCATCACCAGTCACTTATAACCTTCCAAAAGTAATTTTGTCATGCAGAACACTTGAACCAAGTCAATCAAATGCTCTACTTGACTTTTTCGTGACATTATCCCAAAACAATGAAGTTCTCTTGGTTTGTCATTGATAACTTTCCAAAAGTAGTTTTTTGTCACGCAGAACACTTAAAACTCTACTTGTCTACTTTCACACCGATGCATCATTTTTTTTCCCCCAAAAATTTCAATAATGACATGAAACATATTTATATTACCGGATTTTCATCAGCTGATAATGATCCAACATAATATTGGTTAATAACGAAACATTTAGAGGTTACCACAAACCTTTACAGATGGTGTAAGTAGTCTGTATGCTGATCGAATTGAAGTGGCAGGCCTACGGGATTCCTCTGGAGCTTCTTCACTATCATCAAAGTCCTGATCAGCATCTTCATCTTCCTTACGTTCTGAAGTGATCAGCAAAGGTTGTTTAACACCTTCTTCAAGAGAGTCATTTTCTGCTAAGCAAAACAAAGATAATAAGAAAAGGGGCCCAACATAATAGGCAATGTCATCGGGTGAACACAAGACCCATATAATATGAAACAATAAAAGTTAAAAGTCACTCAATTAGCTGTGTCGCCAATATAAATTTCTCCTCGATTTCTGTAGTATTATATCTTGGCAGAAGTTATATTAATTCACTGGATATAGAATTCCAGATATCATTGGGAGCATAAATAATTAAATATTGCTTGAGGCCTTTAAATTCTAAGGACAAGCCCCTGCAAATCCACATTCAATTTTGTGACACCCAATATATCGAAGGTGAACAGAATACTCATCAACGTGGCATCAAAAGGTAATGAGAATGAAGTGGGATCGCATCAAATACAGAAATAAATTCTAACCAAGGGTAAAGGAGATGTAATTTAAAATTTTACTATGCTCCACAAGCTAAACAGGATGCATACTGACAAAATAAATTGTTTAAAATCATTAATGAATCTTTGGTCTCAACTCAATTGCATGCATCAGTCTGCATTCATAAGTGGCAAAAAACATTTATTAAACGGGCTCTTTTATTAATTTGTGAACCATTCAAACAGAAATATTTGAATAGAATAGTGAAATTAGAGGTCTGATAATTTCAATGAAAGCACATTATAGACCCGAGGGCAGAATATCATTGCATGATTTGTCAGCAAAAAGGTGATGGCACATAGGTACAGTACCAGCATTAGATTGATGAGGTACATGATTCTCTTCAACTTCTTGGACAGGTTCCTTAAAAGTGATCCACAACCAAACTAAATATACCAGCCAAGCAACAGACATAACCCACCCAGGCAAGGTGTCTTGGTTGAAGGTGAGCTTGTAAACTTTAAAATTTGTCTGCAGTAATCCAGCTAATGCAGGGCCACAAGCCATTCCAAGAGCACTGGCACTTACAAAACCCGCTGATGCTTGCATGCGGATTTTAAGAGGGACACAATCACTGATGTAACGCCGGTTAACAGCTCTGGCAGAACCCAATCTGCAAGGAAGTAACATATTGGTTAACCATAACATTTAAATGTGGAAAACATCTCACAACATTCTTATCTGCAAAACTAACCCGAAAAAATGTGTCCTCAACTTTTCTAAATCCTACGCAAATGACGATGATTTTCTTATTCATGGAATACATCTCAAGCAAATAAGAAAATTTAATGCTCCATGACAATAGTCCTATATAAAGGTACCTAATTAACAACCAAACGGATCACAAAAACTGTGATAAGACGGGATGAATGGAAACAGAAGACTCACCCACAAAAAAGACGACCTAGTAAGAGAACCCATATTGAATTGAGATCATAAGCCAATGCATACATAGTGTTGCCCACAAAAAGCACTATGCTGCTGAATACAAGAGGTCTGAAGTACGATTTATTAGACCATGCACTGAAATACACGGAAGAAAACACTTGCGCAACAGCCATTGCCCCAATCACAATACCACAAACAGTTGCTGCAGCTCCAAGGCTCATTGAGTAATCATCTGCGGTAGGGACAATAATATATGTGTTGACCATATACAAAAATGTGTTAGCTAAGTTCAGAAGAAGTGACATGAAATTGTATCGTTGATCATCAACATGTTCCTCAGTAGGAGTTGGTAGTTCTTCTTGCATAATGAATGCGTGTTGTGCCATAAAGTTGAGGAAGTTTGTTGAGTGAGTCAACCTGTCTACAGCTGCTTTTATTGAATGAACGACAGGATCCTGCACATGAATTCAATTAAATATAATGGACAATACTGATCTTATTGCTACTAATTAATAAGCTAATAAGGGGTAAAGCTAAAAATATTATGAAATAAATGTCAAATCAAGATCAATAAATAAAGCAGAGAAAATACAAAAGAAACCTGAAGGGGAAGAGTAGGCTGATCATAAATTGATAAGTAACTCCCCTGACGGTCCTGGAGTTCATGAAGATTGCGAGATAAGGCTCCAACCACAGCTCCTATCCCCTGCATACTCCATGCGTCTCAGTCAATATTCATTCACACAGAACATCATATACATTGCATTCTGCTGACGCTCTATTTGTTTAAAGTAGACATATTACCACATGCTTAAACACTTGTTGCAGTTGTGAATAAGGATGGTTCGCTCGAGTTTTAACATAATAATCAGTGAATTTGTAACCAAAACGTTTATCAAACTTCTTCAGAATCTTCCGCAAACCAACAGCATTGATCTCAACAAAATATAGAAGCTTTAAGAGATCTAATCCCACAGCTCTATAAGCTTCTCGTAGTTCAGACATTTTGGATATATCAGGCTGCTTCTGAAGAGCATCATGCTGCTCTCCAAGCTCAGCTATCCTGCTTGCCAAAAGCCCTTGTTGTTCCAACAGGAAAAGGACAATCTTCTCGATCTGAATTTAATAATAAGAAAGTAGGTGAAAAAATGTAAGAGAAGTAAATAATGCCACACATTATTTGACAAAACCCTGCATTTGACAACGGTTATGATTCAGTTTTCTCAGGTTGTCATTTTCTCACATAACCAGCCTCTACTTGAGAAATTAAAGACAATGGAAAGGCCCACAATTCATACAATAAATGAGTAATTTTTATGTATTGAACAATGAAGATAGCACACCTGATTATCTAGCATTCTTGAGAAATCCTTGAGTACATGCCGCCGATCTTGTGTTCCAAGTTCAATTTGTTGAGCATATTGTCTAACTTTTTTCTTCATCAATTTGTAGTTTATGTAATATCTAAAACGAAACCCAAAATTATCATTATGAATACATATGAACTGACAGCTTAATCTGTCAGTGTGACAAATACTTGACTTCAAGTTTGTAACTGTCTCAAAAAGACTTACCCTTGCCATTCTTGGATTTGTCTTTCTTTTAACTTTTTCCCGAAGGCAACCATCTCTCTCTGAAATATAACGGAAAAAAAAAAAAGGGGTCATTTTTTATGGAAGTTGATAAAAGCAAATTGCGGGGGGAACAAAGGTAAGCAGAGAAACCATTGAGGCTATATTTATGGTTTTATCAAATATGTGCGCCACAAGAGTCAGTTCATAATGAACAAAGTTTTTCTGATCTCTGACACACAAAAGCATGGATTCAACATTCAAATCAGCATACTTAGTTTGACAGTCATTACAAAATAACCCTTTGTCTAATTAAGATATAACCTGCTTCTTTTCTCCCAAACTAAGCAGGTATCTATTGAGCAAGGTTATTGCGGCGAATGCAAAAGAGCGAATCTTGATAAAGTGCATAAAGTTGAAATGTTCAGTCGCACACTAGCAAAGTTCGGATGCCCTCTCATGGATGGCTGAGAATTTAGAACACATGAACATGCGCACACGAAACCACTAAAATCAACAGTTCAGCTGTAAATTCGACTCTGTCCAGCTTAAGCCAACTTATGGCTCTGCATAAACCGGTCATAGTCCAGACATATTCGCTAAAATTTCAAAACGACCAAACAGACTGGAAAACGCCACAAAGTCAAACTTTCGACATTAAATGAACTAGAACAAGAATACAGGCTCATCAGCGCCACTCAGTGAGGCCCACGCCCAATTATCTCGGAAAGAGAAAGCGTCCCCGAAACAAAACTCATACAAAGCACGTCCTTCCAATAATTGAAAGACGTTTTCAAATCATAAAATCGAATCAACCACACATACCACAGTTCTTCACAGGGTGCCCAATAACAAACTCGTTTGATGCTGGAGAAAACAAGCCGCGTGAAACAAGATCGAGCCCGCACGAATCTTCCCAAACAAAACAGAGCATCAGTACATGAACGTGCAAGATGCCAAGAGCAGGACAAAATTAATAAAATTGTCATTACATGAACGAAACGCTCCACTTAGATGACCGTCAACGAACACTGACAAAAGAACAATCTCCGGAAGCAAATGAAATGGAGAAGGATGTCGACAAGAAGGAAAAAACAAGATTCGCTAAAGAGTGAAACCTTGAACACTGAAAACCAGAAAGGATTTACAATTTGAGAAGAGAAGAAGCAAGAGAAGAGAGGGTGGTTTGAGGGGAGGCGGGGACGTTATAAATGGAAAGGCGATGCAACCGGCTGGCTAACGAACGGAGCCGATACGAAGCCGTATCAACGCTTGTCACTGAATTCGAATCTAGGAAATGAATGAGTGAACGAATGAAAGAGGACTTTGAGAAAATGGGAAATTTTCTAGTTTTCGACATTTAAATGAAATTGCAGATCCTCTGTATCTGTATATTACTTTGTTTACTAATTTAAATAATTGCCTTTTAAAATGATATTATTTGTTTTTTTTTAATTTTGAAACATAAACTACTGAAATATTTTTATAATAAAAATATCATCATGATTAGATTGAGACTATATTCAGATTGAATGTAACAAAGAATCCCAGTGGAGTTAAATTCCGTCTTGGAAATTATGGTTGGGAGGTCCAAGGATGGCCACACGTGAAACAGACTAAATAAAATTGTGATTTACTTCTTATCCTTGATATAAAGCGACGACTCTGGTCAAAAGAAAAAATATAAAGCAACGACCAAAAAAAATGTATTCTTATTATAATTTATTTAGTGAGATATTTATTACATTTTTCCCTTGTTAAAAACTTATTAATTGCAAATTTTATTACTTCTTAAATACAATCCATAATATTTAAATACGGATAGATTTCTTACATAAAAACATGGATAAATTTAAAAATTGAATTAGTTTTCAGATAAAGTCAATAACTTAATAACATCATTTTAACTTTGTTGGGATAATTAGTAGAGGTATTTTACAATAAAATTAAAGAGGATTATCAATTATGGGTAGAGAATGCAGCAAAATTGAAGTGAGATTAGTTTCAAGGATTGCGTGCTCGTTTATACTTGGCGGTATGGCCGCCTTGCTTGTTATAGGATATACATAGTTTTTTGGACCAGCAATAAGATATAGAGAGTTGAAATTTAGGAATAGGAAGTTCGATGTACAAAAACATGTAAATACAAAGAAGGCATTGTCATTTTTATAATTTTTTATTTTTCCTGTTTCGATCCAACTTATCTGTATAGCACCATTCTAGACTGTCACATGGGTATAAAATGCTCACCTCAGCACAAATTTAGTATAATTTAAATCTGTGTACTTACTATGCGGGGCAAATATGACTTTTTACAATCCTTCAAGAAATTCATAAACGGAAGCTAATTTAATATTCATTGTGTTTTTCATTTATATATTTCTTTTTATATTATTTCACACTTCACTTCTTAAAAAAAAAAATAAAGTTAAAGTGAAATCAGCTCAGCTTCTCTTTAAATAATAAAATTGAGAGTTTAAACTTTGAGCCAAAAATTATGATATTTATAATACCTCCTCCATAATCCACGTTATAGATCATTCATCACGATCCATAACAACCTTTTTATTGCCTTGATACCCTCTAATTCATGATAGGACCATTCTGAAATATTAAACATATTAATTAACCAAATTTCTTAATTTACATAAAATTACGAATAAGGTCTCACAAGAAAAATTGTGGAGTGCTGAACATCATCTAGTTGCCCTAAATATAAACATATAAATGTAATATTAATCTAAACTTTCATAATTTACCCAAAAGCAAAAAGAAAAAAAAAACTTATGTTGCCTTTTTTTGGCACAAAAAAGGACATCCAACATAGTTAAACAAACGAGATATGTCATCGAATAGAGAGAGAAATTAAAATCTCTCTCTCACTTAACAAAACCGTTTTTGAAATGTGAGATATGAGCGGAGGCTATTTGTTGTTGGTGGTTACTTTGTTTGTTGTTAGTTAGGATTCGAGGCAATGTTTGTAAGAAAACAAAAGAACACAACACACTCCAAAATACGACATAAGCCGAGGATCTCACTCTTCGTTCTTTAATATATCATCCATAAAACACAGTACAATACAATAAGCATATTTTTCTGGGTGGGAAGTAGAACTTGGAGCTGAGACAAGACACGTTTAGTGTGCAACGATGACCACACAACTAAAACCAAGTGCAGTCACATTTGGCGATATATAAAGGCCACAAGGCCACAAATTTGAGGCCACCTCGTGATGCGTGAAAGTGATTGTTCATTAAAGGAACAGGACATGTTCTCTGACACAGATGGCTCAGCAAACGCAAAACGACACCATCCAGTGTTTCCCTCTGACCCAAACATCTCCGTCGCTGCGGTGGATAGATCCAAGAGATCACATTCAATCGCCCCAAACCCCCACCGAATCTATTCATTTTTTGAGTTTAGGAAAGCCAAGCACCAATAATTAATTCTCCAAATCTTCCATCCCAAAAAATTAGTGTTGGTCCCCAAACAGGGCATGGCTCTGTTCACTTCATTTATTGAGCACAAGTGCGTTGGGAGCTATCATGATCCAAAGCGGCTGTAAAAAGTGGAGGATTAAAACACATTTTTGCCTTAAATTATTAAAAGACATCTTGGTCCGCCCAGAGAGAAGAACAGGTTCCAATCCAGGTTCCACACGTTGCATGGTCCCTTAATCTCATGATTACAAGGCCGAACGTAAGCGGAAGGTGGCCATTATGATTTTTTTATGTTCTTGTTTTTTACAGTTTGATTCATCGAGCTAATCATTGGATTAACCAAAAATCAACAAAAGATTTATTATAACTAAGAAAGCAGCAGGTAGTGCTCAGTGCTCATCATACCCATAAATCACCATCACAGTTTCCCCCCACGTTTTATAGGAGCCGTCATTAAGAAGTTTAACTGTTGAGAGGAAGGCCTGGACAGTAATTGAAAGTACTGTTCCTTCTTCACAACGTTTGATTCGTTCAAGACTATGTTTGCTAGGGGCGCGCGCAGAGTAATGCCCGTTGAAGTACTTCCAAATCTTCCAAATCAGAAGTATATACGGTTTAAACGGGATGAGATGAAACGGGGGAAAATAAGACAACTTAGGTATTTGCCAGTGTCTTTTAGCATGGGAATCTGCTTAATTATTTCACGTGCATGTCGAATAGAATATATATGGATCATCGGAAAAAGGCAATAACTCCAAATATGTTAACATAATAATATAAAATGAATCCTAGATCCTATTCATTTGGCAGAATTCAATATTAGTTGCATAAATAACGGGTCTGTTTAATTTCTTAGGTTAATTTTATTGAGCTGGCATGTAAATCTCTGCTTAATACAACGCAATGATTGCATATTCTGCGGTTCGCGTGTCTAGAAACCGAACAATAACAATAAAATATTGTTTGCTTTTTCATAGTGTGGCTACAATATATTGGAATAAAAGATTCTCTGCCTATTATTTCATGAAGATAACAGATAAGGCAAAAAGAAAAAGGGTGAGTAGTGGTGTGAGGCAGCGACAGGGCCCCAAAAAGGGGTACGCTTTCATTGGGTTGACAAGGCAGGCCACACCGCACTACATTGATAGGATTACTTATTGCCCTTTCTTTGGTAAGCCCCCGAAATGAATGGCTTTGTGGAAACAAAGGAAATTCTTGAGAATTGAAAAGTGGCTTGTTTCCGATTGATGCATGGTGAATTGATCATAAGAAACAAGAGAAGCTTTCTTAAGAGTTTTCAGATATAAACCAGACCTACGTCTAGGCAAGAATTTCATATTTGGGACCACCAAACTTGGCACTCAAGGCTAATGAATCCAAGAGGACCAAGATTGCAGCATCTGTATACGTAACTTGATATGAAGCAAATGAAGACAACATTGCAAACGTAATACAATTCAGAAATATTGAAACAGAGTCTAGACAAATATTTTTCCTATTGCCGCAATTATATAATTCGGAAATACATCGAGTTCAGGGTTGACCTTTGCGAGCTTCTCGTTGCTGCTTCCGCTAGATCTTCTTTGCCTAACTTACCCAAGGCAAATAAAGCATTAGCGGAAGTAGCAAAAAGAAGCTGAGGGAAAGGAACCACAAATATATTTTGAATTATAGAAGTTAGGATATTGCATTACAAATATTTTCTGGCGCCTTCAACTTGTAGACACCCTTTGGATGGTGTTCTGGTCAGAATGAAAATATACAGCTTTCCAAGAAGAATAGAACTCCAGAAACTATGATGGGTTAGGTGCTAAACTCTAGCTTTGAGAACGCTTACAACAAAAGTAGGCTCCAGATTAGTCATCTTCCAGCTGTTTGTGATCATGATGACTTCAGGCGAAACATACCTCAGCTTTTATTTGTCAGTTATTAGGCCGGACAGGCATATAGAAGTAGCTTAGGGAATACTTGTGACAAAATCAGGCTCCAGATTGGTCACCTTCAGCAGTATAATGTAGTGATGACTTCAGACCTCGTGCTTTATTTGTCAGTTGGCTGCATACCAAAATGTTTTACATGTTTCCCAACCAGTTCTGCTTATATTGCCTTGCCCTTGTTGGTGCTTTGATCTCCAGAGCATGATGAATGCATTTACGGTAAGAAAAATCTTCAACAGTCCCGTCTGTCCTTACTATAAAGAAACAGCGAGTATTCTTATGCAAAGGATGTTGTCCAACCTGTGAATCAAAAAGAGAAGGGACATCAGGGTCAGGTCAACAACATGAAAGACAGTAGTTTAACACAATGCATATGACTACTGGATCAACTATCTAACATTGGCAACCCAAGCAAGTTCAAAACCCATATCCGTATCTCAATCTTAACTCAGTATCAAAACATTACAATTTTGAAACCAAATTATTTCTTCTTTATTATAACTTAATATTACTTTTTTTTTTTCAAGGAACATAACTTAATATTACTGATCAAGTCAATGTGGTACAAAAATGAGAATGGGAAAGAGAATTAAAAAAAAGAAAAAAGAAAACTCCCTCCTATAAACATGGGAGTCTCTCTTTCCAAGAGAACCATTTTTATTTTATTATATACCAAACACAATGAAAATCCTTTCCCTCACATTTTCCCTTTCCTGAAATCCATTTTCCATGTGCCAAATGCAATCAGTCTTTGTTGCATTAAGGCTTCTCTATATAAAATCTTCACAGAGGAATAGAAGTGCAGATTTTGCGCAGACTTACACTAGTTATAAGGCCTTGAAAACATGGAAAATTTTCTCTTTTATATAAAAAAGGAAAAAAAAAGGTTAAAGGATATATTCTTACGCACAATCTTATTCCGAAATCTATAGCTATCCTAGGCAGCATGTCAATATAGGTGTGCTAATGGCACAAGGATCTGTGGAGATCGATGATATTGTTCATTGTCACATCAAACAGTACAGTGTGGAAAAGGAGAAACTTGTTTTTCAAGAAAAATAAATTCATATTCATAAAATTGACCAATTTATTCTTATAATTTTGGCTTGCTACATTTCTATAGTGCTGAAGAATGTTTACCGAAAAAAAACGAAAACTCAAAACTTAACCATGTAGGGAGAATGTTAAATTGTAGCATAATATTCTTTTCAAGGGTCTGCTTCTTATGCAAAATGAAAAGATTTTTTTTTTTTAAAAAATGAAGATAAATTATTGTTGTATTCCCAATTTCTCACAACATACACATTATTGAAGAATGATTACAAAAACAACATAAACACAGCACAGAGAGGATGAAAAGATGATCCTTTCCCCCCTTTGAAAACAACAGGGGCACAGAGACCTCATAGAAAGAATTCCCAGCGTAAAATTAAAAACTGGTCCAAAACATACAACTTTTAGAAAACAATGGCCTTGTTTGTTTCTATTTTTTGTTTTCTTGTTCTCAAAACAATTTTATAAAACTGTTTTTTTAAACAAGTTTTGAGAATGAAAAAAATTTGGATAATTATTTTAAAAAATCACATTTGAAACAAAAAATAAAAAAAACAACAAACAGTGGCTGTCGCCAGCAGTGATATGTGACGGGCGATAGATAAGAAGAAAAGAAGGTTTCTACAATTTTTCAAAACAAAAAAAATAAAAAAAATGCAAAAATAAAAACAAGTGAACATCTATAAATTGTTTTGGTTTTTTTAGTAAACAACCAATTGAGAACAAATTACCAAACAAGTTTTTTTGTTTGTTTAAATTTAAAAATAAAAAATTGCTTTCAAAACAAGAAACCAAACAAGCCCTATATTTCTACTTAGACCAGCATGTGAAATCCACCGATTCTATGCGGCCAGTAGGTTCTGATAAGTGAAGTTCATCAGTTATTCTGAGCCCACTGCCACGAATAAATGCTGTAGTTTTAACTTTTAGTACCAGGTCCAAAGAAAAAAAAAAGCACATACACCCTCTTCACACAAGTACACATACCTTTATGTCCGTTACCCCAGTGCCAACCTTTTCACTGCATTTAGGATGACAATATATAACCTTGAACATGTTTTGCTTGTCCTCCTCATTAAGTCGCTGATCCAAAGAATATCTACAGAGACAGTAGTCGCAGTTAACGGGTGTACTGGAAAATGTAAGGCCCTAGTCTAATGAACACAACAACCACATCCAAAGGAATATATACCTTGAGCTTGGTAGCATTTTACAAGACAAGAAAAATTCGTATCAGAGTTATATACAAGGTGATATTTAATATCCATATTAGGCAAGGTCAACAAACATTTAGCATTCTGCCAACATTAAGCACTACTTCCCAATGAGAGCTGTTTATGGAAACGGGTGCTACAATTTTGCCAGAGTTGGCATCAGTCAGTTACAGCTCATCCCCAAGAGAAATATGTTAATCACATGATTAATTTGATGTATAATAGCAATTTGAACGTCAGTATTTCCATAAGATATTTTACAAGTTGAAAAAATAGCAAAGTAAAAAGCACGCTGCCAATAAGTTCATGCCACTTGCACACAATTTATCCATAGTTTCAGAAGAAGGTCATATAAACCAGTCCAATTTAGAGGCATTTAAACTAACAAATTGATAACAAATAAGTTGACCACGTGGATTCTTTTACTCCCTCTGTTTGCTATAAGGCAGAAGCTGGCAGAGCTTTAGCCATTGGACTACATCCATCTATCCACAGTAACCACTTTTTTTTTCATTCTTCAAAAGACGCTAGTGGAGGCAAATTCCTTCGGACTAGAGAGTCAACTATATCTAATAAAGGGTCTATTTGAAAAAACTGGAATGTTCTGGGGACATTAACTAATCCCATTTGTTTGTGTGAGCTAGTTGAAAATGCCTTATAATAGTAAATAGAGGGAGTAAGCACTTAAGCGAGGCAGGGAACTCCCCCTAAGTAGCTAGCTACTGAGCTGGGATGACCTACATAAATACCCAAACAGTGCATTTATAACTTGCCTCGTGCAGGGCGGTGCTGGGGAGGAGCCAAAATCCCAGCATTATGCTCTGCAACATTTCACTCAACTTCTTGGCTAGACAATACCTCTACAGGCAGCTCTTTCCACAACCACTGACCACCATCTCTAATACCGATTGATAGGCACTTAATGAAGGTAGGGAAACCTTTCTCAAAAGCCCGCAATTAAAACGGGAGAACCAACCTACTTAAATATCCTATATAACATCTAATGCCACTATAATGTAAGACTTAGGTATTCCATACTATCACAGTATCCATCATATACCCTTTCAGTTTTTAAGCACAGACTATATGTTGCATTTCAAAGCAACATTGCTTTTTAAATATTTAATTAGTCTAACCCCACAAAATGAGGTCAACTACATGGACTGAACTCTATCAACACTTAACTATTCAAAGATATCTTCACCATGAAATGCTGTCGTATAACTTCTTTAAGTGTCCTTGGCCTCCCTCCACTACGTTTATAGGTAGGGCTGAAGACCATCTACTCAACTTTCCTCATCACCGTCTTCTGTAGAACCTTTTTTAAATATTTAATATCCATGATATATGTATTTGTAGATCTTTTGTGCATTTCAAATTTCACAGGTCTTAATTAAATTGTTACGCTGGCAAACACCATGATAGCTCTACCATAAATTATGTAAGAAAAGGAATTCTCTCAAACAAAATTCCAGGTTCATTATGTTATGTAATTATAATTATAAATAAGAAAATATTTAAATATGATATAAATAGAATTTAATTGATATTGGCAGGATTTAGATAGGAGTTAATTACCTTGGTATCTATTTAGATTTATATCTATTAGGGATTTTGCTTATAAATACGTACCCATTATCCTTTGTAACTCAGTTTCGCAATTTGATAAGAAATTATTCAGTTTCTCTTGGTCTCCTCTATTTCTCCAATTTCCCTTTCCTCTTTTTCTCTCCAATATCTTTACTTTTCACAACACATTAAAACAGAGGGAAAAATTAAACTTCCACTTAAGAGAAAACAATGAGATTTAGTAGATAAAATCCTTCTAAACCTATCAAAATCAGTACTGGAGAATCAATTTGATGTGAATGTGTATTCCCACAAAATGCAGAAAGTGTCCATATAACTGGTGCATAAAGAATTTTCCAGGGACAGGAAAGAAAATGTTCATATCAAATTAAATCAAAGAAATTTTCTAGTTTAAAAAAAAAAAAAAATTTGCCCTTCCTTTCTCCATTTTCCAGGATACACTAGGATAATATAAAAGATCATGTAGAAGCAGCCTTGAGATACTGCTCCACAGATTATAAGTTCAATAGAACTTTTCAATGTAAATACGAGGCCTAATTCTTTTGGACTACCACCACCATATGGGGCAAATAATGCAAGATATAGCACAAGCCTATTGCAGATTTCTCGTGCAGAACTAACATTCAGAACTACACTCTAATTATGGAAAGCCAAGCTCAGAAGAAAACATGATCTTCAGTTTATGCAGCAAAAAATAATGGGGTGGAAGCACTTGACTGCAAAAATCTTTATCACGGTTGGAAAGACCACACTCAATTTGCTTTCTAGTTGTATTCATTCAATATAATGCACGTCATAGATAGTAAATATCACTGCAGATGATATTGAACTCCTTAAAGTTGAGACATAATTTGCTGCTACTAAACAATAAATATCGCGAGTTAAACCAGACCATGCGATAGCAACAAAAAAGCTACATGTGAATTAACTTACTCTTTTAACATGTGCCTTGACTTGTTAGCCAGCTTCAGAATATCAGCCACAGTAAAATATTTTCTTATTGACTCTCTGATGAATTTATCTTTGAGCTCCTCTTTGATCTTTTCAAAGTCATAGCAAAATTTCTTATACCTAGCACCGCATTTGTCAGATAAATATATTTGTGCTTCACAAGTACCAATCTTTTGAGCCGGCTCATCCAAACTATCTTCCAGTAACTTGTATACATTGGCAGGCTTATCGAGCTCATATCCCTGATAAATTTCAATATAAATACCAATAGTTAAACAAAATGTTTAAAGGAAAAGATAAGTATTCTTAATTGAAAAAGAATTCTTTGATGAGAAGAGAAAATAACATATCAACAGAGGACAAGAAGTTCTCTCAAACCAGCGAAGGGGTAAAACAAAGAAAAAAAAATCACCAGCTCAAAGAGTTTGCAACCCCTTTGTAAAGCGACGACCAAAAATGATGCAAGTCTAATAGAAAAGGCAAATTAATACGTATAAATCAGTTATGGCAATTTTCAGGAACGAAACCCTATTGCCCCATTTGGTAGGAGTGGACTGAGTCTAGAGAAGTGGAAGTGGAACTGGGTTCCCAAATTTTGCTTGTTCGGTAGGTGTGAATCAACTTCCTAATGGAAGCTTGTTCCATCAAAATTGATGGTTGTTCGATGGAACAACCCCTTGAGGAACTGAATTCCAATTCCATGAGAATCGAAGGTCTTAACTATTATACCCCTTCCACTCCTTCTTCCCTATGTGGCAGACCCCTCCGCTAGTCCTCTATCAACATGACGATGGTCCTCCAGAGTGATGGCAGTGATACTCTTCCACCAATGATAGCAGCATCAAACCCTCACCAGCGATGGCTCATATCTAAAACACAGTCTTCCTTCCCTTTCTGTTCACACCTCCAACACTTTCTCCAATCTTTAGTTTCGCACCTCAAGCATGGACGTACCTCTAACCCCAATCTCACTTGTAGTCATTCACTACTCTCTGTCTCTCATCCTCTTAATCTCATCACTATGGTTCAAATCTCATCACCGTGATTTAGATCTCATTGTTAGGATACCATAGTCCAGAACTCCGGTTCAGATCTCGTAGCACCTCCAACCTCAGTCTTTATCATTGTTGTGATTGCCCTCTCGTCTAATTATTGGTTCTACGTCTTGATCTTTTTCCCTTTCTTTCCATTATTGTTGGTGGCTAATGTGGCCGATTGTGGTTTCTATGGGGACTGCCAACAGTTCCTGAGGAGCCGGTTGTTCTAGGGTGGTTGTGGCTGATTTAGGTGGAGGCCAGGATTTTTTTTCTGGAAGGGTATATTGGTCATTTCTCATTTAAAATTAACAGACTAATTAAAAAGTATATCCTGCTTCCATGGCCATACCAAACACACTTTTATTCCCATTTCCACTCTCAGTTTTACTTCCACTTCCATGCTACCAACTGAAGCATATGCTTCAACAAGCTCTTAATAAAAATAATTAAATTTAATGCCGCTTATGCCATTGGCTAAACTAGAATTAGGAAATCCTCATACAATAGTCCCTTTCCCGAATACTTCAGGAGAGGGAAGGCCCATAAAAGTCAGGCTGGTTTATTTAAGTATGGACCATTTCAACCATAAACAAATGGATGAACAACAACAGTTTATGCAGGAGTCAAACCTCTTTATTAGTCGCAGAAGGTCCATAGGATTAGGAATAGGCAGTATACTATTTTGCTGATGTTTAATTTCTCTATGTTTCCACTCAATGTCTCAACGAGACAAGTCTTCTTCTTCTTCTTGTTGCTGTTTTATTTATGTTAATTTGTCAATCATTGCAAATAATACAGGGATATCTAGTATAAAAGCCCTGCCTAGGATCAGCTTAGCTTGTTCACTCATTTAGGTTATCTGTATTTGTTACAGAGAGTTTGTCTTCTCCTTATGGGCAACCTTGCTGGAATAATATAATGTTGAGATTCTTAAAACTATTTTCCCAGAAATTCCAAACTTTCTCATTTTCTACCGCTCATTCGCTGCATCAATAAAGCACTCAACAAGAAAGCCTCTCATTGAACAAGCTTGCACTGTATACTGCAAATATAATTAGGGATTCAGATAAAGGTATCAAAATTCCAGAATCCACCATCAACAGGATAAAATAATCACAACTTGAATATTAAAGACAGATCATTTACTTCTGACAGATTATGGATTTTTTAAGATGATGAAATGCACTTTGGATTCCTTGCACATTCTTGGGTTTCCCCCCAAAATGCAGTCATATTTGTAGTAAACTAAAATCTGATCTCAAGCTTAACATATGATACATGAGGAAGCAATTAACTTTACCTTATCGGAATACATTATATCAAACTGGCCACCTGTCCCTATGGAAGGACAGTTTCCCCAAGCCAATGCATCTAGAGTGCCCTGGAGATCATCCTTAACTCCAGCTTTAGCAGCTTTTATAAAGCAACTGCCAGGATTCTGCAACAGAGATTTCAAAGTGTGAGCATGGATATGGCTGTGCATGCTATTCATCATGAAGCATTTGACTAATCATAAGTGTAAATACTGACAGAGAAGCATGCTTGCACAAAGGGTGATGCAACAGATGCATGTTGTCTTTGCCGTGTCATGCCTTTAGAATTCAATCCCACAAATTCTCCACTAACTGATAGACTATCAGCAACTAGAAGCAAATGCTTAGGAAGGACAATCTTGCCAGTATCTGATATTGCAGATTCCAAACTCTACATATATAAATATTTGTCAGTCAATTAAATACATGGCGCCATAAATTTCAATTGAAATCTGTAGGGTGAAACTACACACATTGTGAAAATATTTCCACCCGGAGTCTATTCCATAGGTTGAACAGAAATGATGTATGTTTTCTGGATGACTACGTGTCCAATCAATTAGATGTCGTATCGGGAGGCAATGATTCACAAGTGTCCTCCAAAACCTTCCACTGCCAAAGTCCTGGGACAGAGTGACCCTCAAGTACAGCTCACCAGAAGAATTATTAGATTTTGATACTTTTGACCGATCACTCCACAGGATATCTACCTTTTTGACGTCCATAAAACCTAAAGAACATACAGGAATTCAAAATAATGAGAGCACATGGAAGTTACCTGTCCCCTCCACAATATGACACCAGATGTACCAGAAGTTGTACAAAAATGACAACGAATACAGTAGAGGCATCATCTTTAAGTCACTTGCACAACTTCAACAGAATGCCAGGAAAATAACAGAAAACACTTAAAAAACTACAATACAGACAAATGTAATCATTGACACTAACATAAGGGCAGCTTATATAATCATCCTCATTTTATCCCCAAAGAGTAGTGCGAGTATATCAATTACCATTGAGTTTTTTTTTTTAATTGAAATTAAAGGGATACAGAAATATTACCAGAGTTTTTCTTTTATTGAAGTTAAAGTGATGCAGATTTTCCATTCTAATTATCATGTATTACAGTACTTAACTTCAACGGTTTAACCAAACCACATATAATTGCATTAAAAAAGACTCATCAAGTTGGAGAGAAGAGTGGGTTTGAGAGAAGGAATAACTAGGGCACTCCAAATTAATTGAAAATTCAGAATTTCTGCTTTGCAAAATCAAATTTTATGGTCCAGCAGTAAATGCGGTTTGCCTTCAGACAACATCATATAATTTGACCAACAGTTACATCTGAGTAATAGTATTGGAAACCAAGAAAAGAACTTGACATTCTTTAATAGGCACAGACTTCGAGAAAACAAATGGGAGGGTACATAATAATTAATTCATTGGTTGTAGGTGATAAATTCAAATTTATTGTAAACATGATTATTAAGGAGTTTACCCTGACCATAATTCTGCTTGTCAAGCGTAAAAATAACACAATTAAAACAGTGATAAGCAAGTTTTTAGATCACCTTTTATTGCAGTTCCTAGAAGGAAAGGTATGAACCAGCCCTGAACAAAATCCAGCTGTATAGGGTCCCTAGGATTTTCAACAAGTGCGACAGTGATGCAACAATGATCTTCACCTTTTTCATCATTGCTAGCCATAAAACATTTCCTGATAATCCATTGTCCAAGTCAATAGAAAGCGAAAGAGGAAAAGTAACAGAAATCATGTCAGCTACAAAACGTTATATTGCCTATCAGGCTATACTGCTTCCGTGTGAGTTCCCTTTAAGACGCTTAGCAACACAAACAACATTCCTCTTCTAAAGAAGTAAACAGTCCCAGTAGCTGATAATAGCAACAGAAGCAATTTCAATTGGAACATATGGGGGGGGGGGGGGGAAGGTACCATCATCATCAATTAAGATGAATATAGAAGTTCTGCTTCTGACTGAGGTAAACAAGTATGCAGAGAGAAAGCTCGCTGACTTTTTTTTTTTTTTTTGCCTGAGAAAGCTTTCTGACAAATCAATAAGAAAATCGCCCAACCTGATATCAGTACTGGTTACTCTTTCTTGATCAGAATTTCATTTTATAATAATCTTAACAATTCAGTGCACATTTGCATCACACATAATTTTTTATTTTCCTTAAATCCTATTTGTCTCACCTCTAATTTTCAATCCCACCAGTTTCTTTCTTTCATTCCAATATTTCTTTACAGTTTTCTTTCAAATAGTAACAGAGGATTTTAGTTGTGATCTATAGACAAAATTTTTTAGTGGTGTAACTTGCAGGTGAAGTAAATTTACAAGTGCAACAAGCTTAAATTTGATTTACCTCCCATATGAATTATATATCAATGTATGGACACGAAATTGAATTTAGAAGTTTGGATTTATGTCTAAATGTACTGTTCACATTGAGAACGATAGAAGAAATATGGCAGAATATTTGCATCATTCTCGAGTCATGATTCTCAAATATGTCATATGAACGTAGGAACGTGTATAAATGTAACTAAATATCAGGAAGTAGGACAATATTAGGCATACAAAATTTATCATGATATTAATGAAAAAGAAAATCCAAACTTAGCAATTCTTGAAGCAAAATAAGAGCAAAGAAAAGCTTACTTGCTTGATATATCTAAACTGGGAAGAGCGGCTTGTGATTTACATCTTTGGGCTTGTGATTTCCATCTTTGGGACAAAGAGTCAATGATCAAATGCACTTTTAGCTTTCTCTTCCTTAAAATCGCCATGTTTATATGAAAATGGCACACCCAAGGACTCAATTTTCGTGACATAGAATTCTGTTGAGTGAATATTATCATGACAGTAGAAACAATGTCTGAAAATTTCAGCCTCTCCAAATGATTTTTAACTTCCAAGGCTCCATATTCAAACCCATATCTCTGTCTATTCAGATTCTCAGACAAAAATAAAGACACTGTCTGGTCACCGCTTTTTTTCCTCGAACCACACTCTAGCACCTTTTTCAAATTCAGCAAAGGTGATGTTTCAAGTAGACTAATTGGCTGATCCAAAGCACTGTATGCAGCTTCAGAAATTGCACAAGCAGAAAGTGCTCCAACAGGTCGGCCACCCATAGTGCCCTCGTTACAATAGATATCAGCAGATGAGTCCTCATTTGTATCATATGAGAACTTTATAAGCGGGCTACCATATGAGCTTCTCACTGTTCCATCATATGCAAGGTACAAATCACGCATGAAGAACATAAGTCTTCGTGTCAGAGTTCCAGGTAGATCTGCATTATCACTGAATGAACTATCTCGACTTGTAACTGAATGAACAAAACATTCAAGAGGATTCAACCCGGTCAGAAATGAGCTTTCAACCACAGCATATGGAATGTAAGACTGAGCAGATACGGGGGTATCATAAAACATATGGATTGAATCAAGTTCCTTTTGACTATTCCAAGCAGCACATGAAAGTTGATGCGGAATTTTGAATGAAAGGCGAACCAGAGAATGCTGCAAGCCAAGACACATGGCATGCTGCACTAATTTCAGTAAATTACCCTTGCTTCCAGCTTTGAACATGGTAAGCAAGGTATTATCCTTGGATCCATATTTGATGGCTAAGCTTTGAATATCTCTATAAACTTGTCTGAATGCATCAACCGAGCATTGACTGAGAGCTGCAGATATTTGCCTGTCATAATTTAGATGCTCTGCTTCAACAACCAAGGAGTTTAGTTTCTCTTCCCCATTTCCCGAAATCTCATCTTGATGATGATCCACCAACAACTGTTTAAACTTACATGCATATTCTGCTTCTTGCAAACCATAGGAGATTTCCTCCATCATATTTTTGCGTGAGTAGAAGTCAGAAGAAAGGTACAAGTCTGAGAGTGATACACTAAACCCAGTCATAGACAACCACTCACAAAGAACTTCCTGCGCTACATGCAAGAAGCCTAGAGATTTCTCCTGGTAATGTTGCACCAAGCTCTGATAAATATTACAGTCAGAGTCACGTAACCAAGTGGGAGAATCAGAATATGATATTAACTCCCCCTTGCTAATAAAAACACCGCTTGAAGGACAGTAGTCAAAATCAGGTGGCAAGAGCATGCTAAATAATTGCTTGCCAGTCCAAAAACGGGAATAACTAGAATGAACTTTTACTATTGCAGGCGGTATCAATTTATGGGAGCAAAACATTTGGAGCTGCTGCATTTGATAAATATTTAACAAAACCCCATCATCCATAAGCAAATAAGCAGCAGTTAAACTGTCTTGACTAAGCGAAAGTAGATTTCTACCACTTTGCTCATTTATTAATTGCTTGTCCAAAGTAACTAGCTCATTCAACTCAGCTCTTGAACTAATTGATTGTGGAATATAACCATGTACACAATCCCCATCAAAATCACCACGCAGTGGGGAACAACATAGTGGATTAATAGATACCGCATTCAACAAGGGAAGGACCCTAACAAAAAGGCAATCAGCGAATGTGGGTGTATAGAAGGAGGCCTATTTATCAAGACCATATCCCCATCACTAAGAGGTCTATAAATCATGTCCCCTATCTTGAGGTCTTCTTTTCTACGCAAGAACAATGGTTTGCCTTTTCTAGAGACACGTATATGCCCCTTCTTTAATAAAAGCAGCTCACAGCAAGAAAGCAATCTTTTCATATTGTGCCCATTAACATGTTCAGAAACCAGCAAACTTTCTGCAATTTGAGACGGTATACCAATTTGGCCAAGCTCAAGATTTGGATCACCAATAACTACAGTGCGGAATGAATGATCATTGCGCTTCCCAAGAATTACATCTTTCATCCATCTCAAACCAGATGAGGTGCAAGCATTTTCTTTAATCTTTCTTTGCTGAAGAGCAGCAAAACTATTATCTGGTGTTTTATCAGGATTTAGCTGCATTATTAAATATTAAACTAGAATCATAAGTAATCAGCAGTATTCCAGACAGATTTGCTGAAACAGTAGAAAAAAATACTCTAAGTTGCATGCCTTAGAGATCCTCAGACAATCCAAAACACGAGAAATTAACTCATCAGCTGTGCCTCTGAAGTCAACCATTTTCTTGCAAGCCCTTGTCCTGTCATCCTAAATCATTAAAGCCAATGAAGTAGCACATCAGAAAAGAGAAACCGGAGTCATTTGATTATGTGAATTAACCCAATATAAAATTAGAGGTAAAGATATGTACAAAAAATAATCGGTTCTCATTCGAAGAAGCATGCATGATTTCTGTCAGACGGTGAGAATTTGGCGTCACTAGGAAGCTATGGAGAAAAAGCAAATTACTCCGTGAAACAAATTTTTCAATGAAACTTGGATCGACATCACCCAACAAATCATTAACCTGAAAACAAAACCAACAAAAAAATTTATATCAGCTCAGCATTTAAAAAACACGGCTGATGATGAAAAATGATTCAGAATATGATGAACTAAATTAAACTGAGGGTGTGTAGATATGACACGAGGGGCAAACGCTTTCTAATTGGAAAGAACGGAAGACTTCTTTAGCAGACCTGGTTTTCCAGTCCTTCCCCGTCACTATAACCCTTCTTGCTATGTGGGATAACAGTAAATTAAGTGATTAAGTTGGGGGGGGGGGGACCAATTGACTAGTTCTATCAAACCCAAATCCCAAAATAAGAGTCAGCAATGCATGTATTTGTTGGCAATTAGCCATGCCCAGGATAACATATACCACTGTATCTTTCATGTTGACAACTCATGCATGTGGACACAATTTCACATGAATCTTTTCAAAGTATCAATATCAGCATCTGCTTTTTTTTTTTTCTTTTATTTAAATTCTGAGTGACAGAAACTTAAGCTCTGCAGCAGCATGGTCATTGATAAAACTCAAAAACCTATAGATGTTTGGTGCACTGATATTTTGCTTTCCCCGGCATAAGATGAATCAGATTTGAAGATCCTGTATGTGATTTAACAAATGTCAAGCAAATGATGTTCCAATGATTGATATTGATCCCCTGCTAGGTATTAGCAATCCTAGGTATCCCACATTGAGTTGTTAATGTTAGAAAGCCCATGATTCTTGCCTATCATTATGCATGAGAATAATATCCCTGATTGTATGCTGTCATTAATTATAGTTATTGCTGAATGATTCTAACCGGATTATTAGCACCGTCCGGACCCTATATATTGTAATGATCTCATATGAAATAAGATTATGGAGTGCAATACTCAGATTTAAACATGGTATCAGAGCACTAGGGTTGGATCCGTCCTGAACCCCTGCCGTAAACAGAGAGAGAGCGAGGAGAGAGAGTGAGGGAGAGAGAGAAACGCCGGCGTCCTCAGATCTGAAGGCCAGAGAAGGACGTGACCGACACCACCCCTCCAATCCTCACCGGAATCCTCCGATCGGCGCGTCCCCAGAAGCCGGCGTCCAACGGAGCAACGCGTGAAGCTCACGCGCCGTCACAAGCCTCTGCGCGTGAATCCCACGCGCCGTCACAAACCGCCGCACGTGAAACCCACGCGCCGTCGCCAGATCCGTCCCAGTACAGCACTTCATCCAGAAGATGAATCCATCAGACTTTCCACCACTTTTTGGGTCTGTTCGCAATATGCCTGTCACAACAGGCACCATTCCAATGGCTTTAATGTCTGGCACATCCTCAAATACTCAAGGTACTCCTTCACCAGTAGCCCCCTCTAAAACTTCTGATCCGATGCCAGATTTGACAACAGTCACTGAACAGCAACCTATGATGGTAGCTCACAAACTAAATGGCAGCAATTGGATCTCTTTGAAGTACATCCTTGGAAGAATATTGATGATGCTAATTACTACAGACAACTAGTTGAAAAGGGACGAACATATGATTTTCTGTTGGGCCTGAATGATGCTTTTGAAGAAGTAAGAGGCAGAATTATGGGTCTAAAGCCCCTTCCATCCCTATTTGAAGTCTTCAGTATGGTTAAGTTCGAAGAAAGTCGGAGATACCTCACTCAGGGTAACCAAACTCCAGTTGATGGCTCAGCTTTAGTCACAAGGGGACCCCAGACATCAGAGAGCTTTGAAAGAAAAGGGAACAAGTGGTGTAATCACTGTAACAAGAAAGGCCACACCAGAGATGAATGCTGGAAACTACATGGAAAGCCAACCCATGGGAAACAGCAACAGCGTCGAGATGGAAAAAGCCACCACACCTCCTCCGAGGAAAGAGGCGATGATGGAGATCGCTTAACCAAAGAAGAACTTCAACTGCTCCGAAAGATGCTCGAAAGGCAAAACTCATCAAAAAAGGTTCCCAACGTGAACTTGATTCAGTCAGGTAATTCTATTATTGCTCTTAATGCAATGGTCACTAGTGATGAGACATGGATTGTCGACTCTGGTGCTACAGACCACATGACTGGTAATAAATCCCTCTTCAAAACTCTCAAATATTGCCATGAGAACCTCCGAGTAAAAGTGGCAACTGGACTATATACTAAAGTTGAGGGTGTTGGCACTGTGGCCCTCTCTGATGATTTGGAAATTCATAATGTTTTGTTTGTTCCTGCTCTCACTTGCAATCTTATATCTGTAAGCAAACTGACTAAAGGACAAGTATGTCGGGTGATCTTTGATGATGTTAACTGTGTTTTTCAGGATTCGATCTCGGGGAGGAAGATTTTGACTGCTAAGGAATGGGATGGACTCTACTACTTTGAAGGAAAGGACATGAAGACAAAAGGAGCAAGGAAGGCTATGGTTAGCTCCAATTCTCAAAATAAAAATGTAATGTTGTGGCATCAAAGATTAGGCCACCCCAGTTTTGATTATATGAAGCATGTGTTTCCAACATTATTCAATAAAAATTCTTCTCCTTTCCAATGTGAAACTTGTCAAATTGCCAAACAAACTCGCACATCTTTTCCCAAGCATATTTACAAACCCACTAACCCTTTTGCATTGATCCACACTGATATTTGGGGACCTGCCAGAACCAAAACCCGAACAGGCACAAGGTGGTTTATCACATTCATCGATGATCATACACGGGTTACATGGGTTTATCTTATGAAAGAGAAATCCGAAGCCTTACAAATTTTCAAAAACTTTTACTCCTTTGTGAAAACCCAATTCCAAACTCCCATCAAAGTACTGAGGAGTGACAATGCCAAAGAGTATGTGAGTGGAGCCTTTAGGGAATTTCTTGAGCAACAGGGAATCCATCACCAAACCTCGTGTGTCTATACCCCACAACAAAATGGCGTTGCCGAGCGGAAAAATAGGCACCTTTTGGAAGTAACCCGAGCCATTATGATGGAAAGAAATGTTCCAAGCCTGTTTTGGGGAGATGCAGTACTAACTGCAGCCTATCTTATTAACCGAATGGCCTCCAAAGTTCTCAACTTCCAAACCCCTATTCAAAAACTCCTTGAGACCTACCCCGCCTCACCTATCATCAATACCATCCCACAAAAAGTCTTTGGGTGTGTTGTCTTTGTCCATAAACATGATGGGGGAAAACTAGGTGCTAGAGCCGAAAAATGTCTTTTTCTTGGGTATTCCTCAACCCACAAAGGCTATAAGTATTACTGTCCCTCTACCAGAAAACTCATAATCTCCAAAGACACAGTTTTCTATGAAGATGATGCATACTATCCCAAATTACCCATTCAGGGGGAGAATTGTGGAGTAGAATGGCTAATTACCCCTGAACCTGAGACCAAAGCACCTCCTAATCCTCCAGAACTCTATACACCGCACGAAGAAATCCCTGAACCTGAACCGGAAACCCCTAAACCTACATCTCAACCAGAACAGCCCAAAACCCCCACAAACAATACTCACACAATGGAAACGAATGCTGAAATTGATGCAGGGGTGACAGAGCACTCAAGATCTCACTCAAGTGAACAAGACAGTAGTAGTGGGGTTCCTTCCATTCCAAGGCAGCAACATGATTCCAATCCGGAGTTGGATCCTGAAGAACTAGGATGGCCTATTGCACTTAGAAAGGGGGTAAGGTCTTGTACTCAGCATCCTATACAACGATTTGTCTCTTATGGCAATCTATCTGCTAGAATGCAAACCTTTGTGGTGAATAGCTCACAGGTGAAAATTCCAGAAACATTTCAACAGGCCATGAAAGATCCTAACTGGAAACATGCAGCATATGAAGAGTTGAAAGCCCTGAAGGAGAATAACACGTGGGATATAACCACACTTCCTAAGGACAAGAAAGCAGTAGGTTGCAGGTGGATCTTCACACCGAAATTCAACCCTGACGGAAGCATCAACAAGTACAAAGGGAGATTAGTTGCAAAAGGGTACACTCAAACTTATGGGATTGATTATCAAGAAACGTTTGCTCCCGTGGCAAAGTTCAATACCATCCAAGTACTCTTATCCCTAGCTGCTAATCTTGACTGGTCCCTACATCAACTGGATGTAAAGAATGCTTTCCTAAATGGAGACTTAGAGGAGGAAGTATACATGGAAGTTCCAGATGGAGTAATAGCTCCACCTAATTCAGTTTGCAAACTGAAGAAGTCATTATATGGCCTGAAACAGTCTCCACGGGCATGGTTTGACAGGTTTGCCAAAGCAATCAAAAGGTTTGGTTACAACCAAGGACAAGCTGATCACACTCTTTTTGTCAAGCACAATGATGGAAAGGTAACGATCCTAATTGTGTATGTGGATGATATAGTCATAACTGGTGATGATGAAGCTTCAATCTCTCAACTCAAGAAAGCCCTGGCTAGAGAATTCCAAGTGAAGGACCTAGGTCAAATGAGGTACTTTCTCGGAATGGAGGTTGCTAGGTCCAAAAAGGGTATAAGTGTGTCACAACGGAAATACACACTTGATTTACTCCATGAAATAGGGATACTTGGGGCTAAGCCGAATGGAACACCTATGGAAGAGTCATGCAATCTGGAGGTTAAACCAGAAGGGGTACCAGTTAACTCAGAAAGATACAGAAAACTTGTGGGTAAACTGATCTACTTGACCCATACACGACCTGACATTAGTTATGCAGTTGGGGTGGTAAGCCAATTTATGCACCAACCTCAGGAAGAACATATGGAGGCTGTGTACAGAATCCTTTCCTACCTCAAACTCAATCCTGGAAGGGGAATATTCTTTAAAAGGGGGAATACAAGAAACATAGAAGTCTATACTGATGCAGACCATGGGAGAGCTGTAGATAACAGGAGATCTGTCACAGGTTACTGCACTTATGTTTGGGGAAACCTTGTGACTTGGCAAAGCAAGAAACAGACTGTAGTCTCAAGAAGCAGTGCTGAAGCTGAACTAAGAGCTGTAGCTCTAGGGGTGTGTGAAGGAATGTGGGTGATTAGACTTCTGAAGGAATTGAGAATTCCCTATGAAGGGCCAGTGAACCTCTGGTGTGACAACCAAGCTAGTATTGAAATGACAAAGAATCCAGTGTATCATGACCGAACAAAACGTGTCGATATTGATCGGCATTTTATCAAAGAAAAGGTAGAAGGTGGTATCATCAACTTAAGCTATGTGCGTTCGATTGATCAGATTGCTGACATCATGACCAAACCTTTAGCCGGAGTCAAGTTTGAAGGGCTTCGAAGCAAGCTGGGGATGGTTGACATCTACTCTCCAGCTTGAGGGGGAGTGTTAGAAAGCCCATGATTCTTGCCTATCATTATGCATGAGAATAATATCCCTGATTGTATGCTGTCATTAATTGTAGTTATTGCTGAATGATTCTAACCGGATTATTATCACCGTCCGGACCCTATATATTGTAATGATCTCATATGAATAAGATTATGGAGTGCAATACTCAGATTTAACAGTTAACATACCCTTTCACAATGATCCATATATAACTAATCACATGCATGCTGCGAGCGTGTACAAACTTACAGATACACATATATTAATATACACAAACGTGCACACACAAACCATCATAATAACCAATTTATTAAATGATCGTAAGAAAATAAATATTACTGAAGATGCAATATGTCTTTTCCTCTGCTTAAAAATCATATACATTAATTATAAAAAAGCTGTATAATAAATAGAAAATTTTCAATTGACAACATTTATAAAAGATAAATACTTCATAAGTTTGCAACATAAAACCTTAAGGCAGAGAATGTTGACGTTTAAGATCATAATTATTTAGGGTTACATATCTGCCGAAGGTTTAAACATATAACAAGCTGGTCAACTTGAGTACTCCTATAAAGTCTGAAGACAGGCTCAAAGGATTACACAAGTTGGTATAAACATGAATACAAGTCAAAGGTGTACATTAAATTCTCAATAACATCAACCAGAATAGTATATTATCACCTTCAGCTTTAAAAGTAACAGCTCACAGTATTAAATATTATAGGAGATTCTTCTGACACTAGTCAAATCAAAGGTGAGAACAAGCAGCAATGCCAATCACAGGACATTCCAAAGAGGTAAGAAATAGATTTAGAATTTGGCGTTCCAAGAAATAAAAAAGAACTAAATCCCATGCCTATCAGGGAACATGAGGTTCCTGCCTCATGGAGGCATCACATGCCAAAAAATTATGGTAATGCTAAGGAAAGACGTTGAGATACTAGTTGGGCTTTCATACCTTAGACATCTAACTTGAGTATCCAAGGCACCCAGGAATCCTAGATGCATAGATCAAGACTATGTGTACCAAACACCATAATACAATTTGGTATATGATACATTACAAAGTTAGGAGGAAAAATAAAAGGGTTTTGATCATATCCTTTTCTCCTACTTGGTAGTTTCTATTGAAAGCCTCCAGGATGTGTGGTCCATAAAAACTTTTAGTAACGGAAATTATGTAGAATTTTTTTTTTTGGGGGGGGGGGGGTCAGCATCACAATACACTGCAAGATTGGCCGTCTCAAAATTTTAAAAATAAAAAATTTGGAGAAAGAAAACGAATATCTGATCGTTTATCTAATATATCAAGATTTTGAAAAAGGATATGAAAAGAAAACAAATACCTGAGCAGGTGATAAAACCCTTCTATTCATTTTCATACAACTTTCTTCTTGTTGATCATCTCTTGGAACAAAATCCCAATAATCAGCAGGCAATCCTCTCAAAATTTTCTTCGGATTTTTCTCATTTGTTTCCACTATAATTGCAGTTCTTCTGAATAGATCGTTGGAAGAAACTTTGAATTTCATTGTTGGATACAACCCCGTTGAACTTCCCTGTTTATTGCACAAGCTGTTAATTCTTTAGTGGCGAAGTCTAAACGAGAGAGAAGAATAAAAATTATTAAAAGAAAAAAGTTAGGGAAGCACTTCAAACTTACAGCACAATATTTGCAACCTATGAGTTGCTTGTTTTTTGAAAAAGCAACCTGTAAGAAGAAATCTGAACTATCAATGGGTACCCTAGCAAGCATACAAACCCATAGAAGCCAACCAATGTATTACTAACACAATCAAGTGCTGAACCTTGTAGGGAGTTAAAACTTGGAAAAGAAAATTAAAGGAATGAATTAGCACATGACTCAGTCGTCTACCTATTTGTCCAGCCCTTTGACTGGCAAATAAAAGGAGGAAAAAAAGGATTGGACATTTCTAGAGATTCCCAAAAATGAAATAGATAAGTAGTTTTGAGCCCTAGCATTCAGGATTCATATGAGGATTCCCAAATTTTTTAATGCATGAAAGCAAGGATCTGATCCTGCATAAAATAAAGGGTTAAGCTGTAAATTACCCTAGAAGTTTTTACTCAGGAGAGATGGACACCAATAACTTTTTTTTTTTGGGTGCAAATTAGCCTTCAAAGTTTAAAATCGTAACAATTTTACTCCCTACCATTAAAAATATTAGCAGTCAATGTTACTAGTTTAAAGGTCAACTTCAGCTTTTTAACAGTACAGGGCAAAATTGTTATGATTTTAAACTTCCAAGGCAAAATTGTACCTAATAAAACTTCCAAGTGTCCAACACTCCTAAGTAAAAACTTTCAAGGCAAAGTTGCACCAAAACCCTAAAATAAAAGACAAAATTTTTTTCACATTTTCACAAGATTCGATTTTCATATACATCTTCCATTGTCTAACTTAGATGAAGGTAGCTTGCAAAATACCTTTGTAGCTTATATCCATCTGAGTCAACTTTGAAATATCAAAGAGATTCCAAAATTCACTAATTTATCGTTATATGTCACTTTTTTATGCTCATAGGGCAAAAGGTGCGGATTTTTTATATGAGCACTTCAAACGAAAACTCAAAGTTTGAGCATACAGTAAATCTTGATTTTAAGGATTTCTTGGATAATTTTTCTGAAGAAAATGATTTAAATATACAATACACAATTTCATTAACAACAAACTATGTATTCGTAGAAGCTGCCTGACCTTTGACAACACTTCTTGTCGAATAGACTTACATCCAGGGCAAATTTTGTTCAAAATTTCTGAAATCTCAGAGAGAAAATATGGGTGGAACACCGGAAAAGGAAATTTGATAACTCCAAAATGACCTGAAATTCAATATATATCTTTCAGTATCCTAACTAGTGAGGTCACATTGATCAGAACTCAAGTGAATCCAAAAACACGTTTCCTTATTAGATATCCATACACACCTTCACAGATTTTCCTGTTCTTAGCACCACATGTGGAGCACTCCTGATATGGATTTGGAAGACCCAAATCAGAACACGTGACCTGCCCAGCTGCATTAATCTGCAATGCAGATATATACTCCTGTAGAGGTGAAAGTAATTAACATGCAGTATGTGGCTAATGAATTAGAAGGCCACCAGAAGATATTTATGATTGATGATCAAATCAGCACACTAAAACTTCCTTTTTGACCAGAAAGGACAATTTATGGACCCAATCATAAATGAACAGGTCTCACACCCTCTACTCCATGATTCATGCTACATGGTATGCCATTTAATGTAGTACATTGTTATGCCAAACTAGCATCCTAAAGGATCAAGCTGAAAAAACAAAGAAAAGAAGTAACTGATATAAATATAAGATCAAGATTATACTTAACTCTATCTGTCTCAGTTAAAACATCAAACTTTATCCCCGTTATGAGACCCAATGGCACTTTTTGTTCTAGAGAGAAGTCATCATCCATGGCACACGGTATCTTTGTATTCAGCACAAATTTCAAGCCTATTCATTTGTAGAAGTAAGTAAGTAAATGAATAGTATAGGATAAAATATATAAGCCCAAAGAACAAGAGTGTAGAACGGTTTATGCTTCAATCATAGAAAATTGACCTCATTTAACTAGCTTGGCATGCAGATGCATTGTTTTACTCATGGTCAATTTTCCTATGATAGAATTCCAGTAAAAACTAGTCCGGTTAATAAATTTACCACATTTTAACATTTCACAACTTACAAGCTTCTGAGCTACACAAAATAATCAACCTATCAAAACTTAACATGAGTACATGAAACCCAACGAGAGCAAGCAGAACAAAGGATTAAATGTTCTAAAGAAATCTTCCTCAGAATAGATATTCCTATTAATAGTAAATGAACAATGGAACGAACAAATTGATTTCAGATGTCCTCTACAATGTGTTGTCATGTCCTTATGGACATGAAGATAAAAAGATATAAAATTCGACATACCTAACATAATTTGGGGAGCATGCATTTTTCAAGGGAAGGAAATCCAGCAGAAGACCGTAATAGAAGGACATACATAACTTTTGGTAGAAAATGCAGAATATGTCATGTATAAATTGAAAAATGCAGAATATGTCATGTATAAATTGAAAAATGCACCCTGCACACAAATTATATTCTATATATGAATGCAAGGAAAAGAAAACACATATTAGAAAAATCTCAGCAGCTAATTAAAAAAGTCGGCTCATCAATGGACAGTCATTAAAATAGAACCCCAAATGTCAGTAATATATCATTACATGTAGTCCTTCTTGCTTCTGAGAAAATTAAGATTTGCATAGAGGTCAAAATGATAATTAGAAAACAGCATTATCGAAAGCAAGTTCGAACTTTTCCTTTTAGTGAGACATAGGATTATCCTTCTCCAATAGCAGAAAATGATCTTCCTCAACATACAAGGGGAAAAGGAAATACCCCACCTTATTGGATTTGCTTCATATGCAAAGGCTAGAAATTGATTCCCCAATTACTTGCTCTGAAAAGACAAACGCCCCTACCACTCACGCCAACCTAAGTTTGTTTCAACGAATCAACAGTCATTCATCTTGCTTACACATTGATTAATAGCATGGAAACCAAGAACATAATTTAGTAAATCATTGGACAGTGTCCTTCTGATTTCAGCCAAAGCTAGCCAGCCCGAACACTTTATCCCCTGCCAGCTATTACGTGACGGCAATGCCACTCTCAGACCACACCCTTACCACGTCCCAACCCACCCTATTAAAGATCTTTGAAATCTCATCCCATTCTCTTGGAAGCAAATAAGTTCCCTTTTCGTGGGTTTCAGTAATACCATTCCTAGTATCTTATCCTCTTGTAGGTAAATGACCTCTTTAAACTTGTTGTGTTGCGTAGTAATGTTTTACGCATCATCGTGTACAGGCTATGGCACGGACGAACGTTAATTACAATTTGATCAACATTGGATTGAAAGCTAAAGAATTTAATCGGTATTCTAAAGTGTTACATGCTTTTGAAATAAACTTCAGAGCTCAGCCTGGAAAGAGTACTTATAAAGCCTAGACGTAAACGTGTTTGTCTGTGATCGTCTGTAAATGGAACAATCATGCGGTAGATAAAAGGGTTTCCTCTATATTTATATGATCCGGCACGGTTTTAAGTAAAATCTAGCTTTTGAAAACCAAGAAGCCAACCAATTAAATATAAAAAACGGAAAAGGTTGGTCCATAGTTGAATGGATTAGCAGTTGTATACAGCAAACGAATTACTTCCGCAGGAAAATCTAGGCACATTGCCAGAAACACCATCCCTCAAACCTCAAAAGGCATGATCATGTAACATGCAAAGCAGTACCGGGCACCCTTAATATAAATAACCCTCAAGGAACCCAAAAACTAACATTATAAACAAGACTACGGTGGTCGTTCAAAACAAATAGTGATCGCAATATTTCTAGGAAACAGAAGCACAATATCCGCGAATTGAAAGTAATTAAAAAAAACAGTCCTGGAAGAACAGAAACGACGAAACTCTTATACTCACTTATGGAGAAGAATGCTGCTTTACAGCGCGAAGCAGAGTAGAACTAAATATCACGGCCCACAAGTGAGCTGCCTTGAGACAACAGATTACAGAACCAAGAAAACTAAATTTAGACAAAGAAGTCAAAGCAACGGCGAAGAAGGGGAGAGGAGGAGAGTGAGAGTGAGGTCGCCGGCGGTCACTTTCAACCAAACAGCGGACTAATGCCGAGTAGAAGGGACTGTCTTGGAGCCCAAAGACCGAGGCAAAAGGTTCTAGCTGGCGTCAGAAATATGACCCTCCGTTCTTCTTGAATTTACGGCCTTGACCTACCCTCTGGGACTTGGTACGAATCAATGTGTGGGCAGTTATGAACTTATGAGGAAATAAAAATAATAATGAAAAAATACAATGGGACCCACGGGAGGGACGGAAAGCTGCCTTATATACCACGCAAATACGAGGGCCTTATATTCAGGGGCAGCTGGACTTTAGACCTTCTTTCCGGGGACAAAAGGGACTTTATCTGTTTCTTCGATAATAAATACCCCTCAGTGCTTTCACCCCCCGTAAAAAAAAAGTGCTCCCCAGTCCTATTTATTTTATTTTTATAAAATAGGGAGAGCACTTTTTTCTCTTTCCTTTCCTTTCATTTATCTTCTGATTACTACTATTTGCTTCCGATTTTAATTATAAAAATTAATTGACTAATTTAAAAAAAAAAGTTAAATTAGTTATTTGTCATAAATAAGTATTGTCTCTTCTAAAATACTCTTACTAATCAAGTATATTGGTTAGAACTATTATTATTAGAAAAACTATCTTGAAAAAAATACATAAATATTAGAGACAAAATGGATTTGAGTCTTATATTTAGAATCAAAATAAAAGTCAAATGAGATCATATATTAAGACCGGAGGTGGTATATTATTTTATGCTCTCTTTGATATTTTTTTAAAAGATGTATATATTAAATAGAGATGGTTGGCAAAATATATAAATAACACTAAAGTTAAAAATTTATTAAAATTTAAGATAATTTTGATGAAAGATGTTAAGAGTAATTTATAAATAAAATTAGAAATATTACGGCACAATAAATAATTTATTACACGCCTGATCGAGCAGATGTCCAGAGTGAGAGGATTCTGCTTCCGTGGCTATGGTCCTATGGACATCAGAATGGGAGCAAGTAGACATATGTGGGGAGTTTGGAGATTCTGAACTCAAGCTTGTTTGTTGGTTGCAGGAGAAAGCTAGTTCGCGTCCCGCAAGAGAGATGCAGAAACATGGACGCGGACGTGGCTGGGAAGGAGATTGCTACATTAAAAATCACCCCGTCGGCTCCTTATTACAAAGCACCTATTGTCACTTTAGTAGGATTAGAATTAAAAGAGCCAGTTAAGTCTTTCAATTTATCTAAAATTAAAAAAAATTATTTTACTCGTATTTAAAAATTTTAAATAAATTTTTTGCCAGAAATAAAAATAATGATTCTAAATAAGATGATGTTAATAAATTCAATTAATGTTCTATTATGTGATTTGTCAGATGTTGTGACTATCTCCTTTGAATGATGGTTTATGGGGGGAAAAAAAAATCAGATGAGTAAGCTAGTAAAACGTATTGAATATAAGAAGTATTTTCCCAGGAAAAAAAAGATTTATTTTGTTTTCCAATATGAAAGCTAAATAACTAAATTAAAAATATTCAGAAAGTTAGATAAGTTGATTATTTGAAACAAATGTCTGTTATTTTTTTAGATTATCCTCTAATTAGAATACTTTAAAATTAATAGGAATATATTCAAAAAAATTATAAATTTAAAAAGCAAGATGAATTGAAGTGATATATTTAGAATCAAATTTTATCTCTCAATTAATTATTGTAATTAACAAAAAAAGAGAAATATTATACTGGGCATATCCAAATACTTGGATTTTGAGCAATGCTGATTACGAAAGTATTTATAGTAACTTTTTAAAAATAATTTTATAATATATATAATAAATAAAATATATTAAAAGAATTTTGTTTCGACTTTGGATAAGAGTATAGGAGCTCCCATATCTGATTCCTGTTTCTGGAGAATCAAGAATCGTGCATGTGATCGCAATGTACTGCTAGTATTCAATTAGATGTAACTTACCCCAAAAAAAAAATAAAGAGATATGACTAAAAAGACGAGCCCAGAATGATAATTAAAAAAAATTCTTCTTCGTTCTTACCATTTTACCCCCACTGTTTTTGTATAGCATCACTCTTTTCGAGAAGCTTTTTGCCGTAGCTTTTAAAGAAAACAAATATTCCCTGTGTACTTAATATAAAATTTAATTATTAGGTTAATTTTGATTAAAAATAGAAGGTTTTTTTATATTTATTAATTTTTTAATTACTCCTAATAATATTCTATCAGTCATAATCAAGTAAGAAAGGGAAAGCGCATGTTAAAAATAATTATGGTATTTTGAGAAAAAATATCATATTTCTTATAATTAACTAACTTATCTAATTTTTTTAATCTCATCAAATTAATTAAATATGTTTTATATTAAGGGTCAATAAGTATTATTTACCATCGGTTTTATAATTTCAAGACGGTATTGATTATACTCGGAGTGCATCATTAGAAAAAGAAAGAAAACACTAAATCATTCTAATTTCTGTTGGTTGATTTTTACTAGGGGCAAATCTGGAAGGTAAGATTTCAAAAAAAACAAAAAAAAAAAAAAAAAGAAGAGGAAAGCGAAATTTTTAACACTAATTCTTTTTTTTAATGCGATAGTTTGTTTGCACTGAAATTGCTCTTTTCTTTTAACTTGACATGGGTGGCACTATTTACGACATGCGCTTTCTGCATCCATATTGACAGGGATATAAAACATAAAATCATTTCACCTGAAAAGTGTAAACTATATCACTAGTATTTTTTTCCAACAAACTTTTTAACAAATGTTATATTTAATCTTTAATATATTATCTACATGCCTATTTTATAGGGATTAAAAATTAATTTATTTATTTTGATGAAAATCTTTTTATTTTGTTACGCTAAATGTAGATATTTTGAGGGAAATTTTTCAAATATAAGAGATGGAGTAAATTTTATTTTTAGACCGAAATTAATTTTTACGTTTAGATGGAACAAAGTATTATCTTTGAGACAAATTAGGGACGTACGACGATGATGGTGCTCATTCTTGTCACAAAGCACAAGTAGCCCCTCTCATTATGTGCTGCCTGGTTATTAGAGATATTAAAAAACGGTTAAATAAACTACTTTAATATATTATAATATAGGCTCTAATTTGAAGTAGATTAAAAAAATTAGTTAAGTTAGTTGTTCATAATAAATAGGTGATGTTTTTCATAGAGTATTATTGCTAATCAAATATATTTGTTAAAACTACTATTACTACAGGGATTACTTTAAGAAAAATAGATAAATACGAAAGACAAAGTGAATTGAAGGTCTTATATTATGACCAAGATAAAAGTCAAACTAGTTCTTATATTAAAACCAAAGCTAGTATTATATTTATTGCTTTTCTCAAAACTAATTTGTTTCGC